GTGTGTGTGTGTGTGTGTGAGAGAGAGAGAGAGAGAGAGAGGGTGTGTGTGAGTGAGGGTGTGCGAGTGTGTGTGTGAGAGGGTGTGTATGTGTGTGTGAGAGAGAGAGAGAGAGAGAGAGGGGATGTGTGTGTGTGTTTGTGTGTGTGTGTGAGAGAGAGAGGGTGTGTGTGTGTGAGTGAGAGGGTGTGCGAGTGTGTGTGTGTGAGAGGGTGTGTATGTGTGTGTGAGAGAGAGAGAGAGAGGGGATGTGTGAGTGTTTGTGTGTGTGTGAGAGAAAGAGGGTGCGTGTGTGTGAGTGAGAGGGTGTACGAGTGTGTGTATGTGTGAGAGGGGATATGTGTGTGAGAGGGTGTGTGTGTGTGAGAGAGAGAGAGGGAGGGAAGGTGAGGGTGTGTGGGTGGGGGGGGCGTGTATATGAGGATGTGGAGGGGGGCTGTGCGGCGTCCTGGCGCGGGGATTCCGGCTGGGTGCATGTCCAGCTCCGGCGTCCTGGCGCGGGGATTCCGGCTGGGTGCATGTCCAGCTCCGGCGTCCTGGCGCGGGGATTCCGGCTGGGTGCATGTCCAGCTCCGGCGTCCTGGCGCGGGGATTCCGGCTGGGTGCATGTCCAGCTCCGGCGTCCTGGCGCGGGGATTCCGGCTGGGTGCATGTCCAGCTCCGGCGTCCTGGCGCGGGGATTCCGGCTGGGTGCATGTCCAGCTCCGGCGTCCTGGCGCGGGGATTCCGGCTGGGTGCATGTCCAGCTCCGGCGTCCTGGCGCGGGGATTCCGGCTGGGTGCATGTCCAGCTCCGGCGTCCTGGCGCGGGGATTCCGGCTGGGTGCATGTCCAGCTCCGGCGTCCTGGCGCGGGGATTCCGGCTGGGTGCATGTCCAGCTCCGGCGTCCTGGCGCGGGGATTCCGGCTGGGTGCATGTCCAGCTCCGGCGTCCTGGCGCGGGGATTCCGGCTGGGTGCATGTCCAGCTCCGGCGTCCTGGCGCGGGGATTCCGGCTGGGTGCATGTCCAGCTCCGGCGTCCTGGCGCGGGGATTCCGGCTGGGTGCATGTCCAGCTCCGGCGTCCTGGCGCGGGGATTCCGGCTGGGTGCATGTCCAGCTCCGGCGTCCTGGCGCGGGGATTCCGGCTGGGTGCATGTCCAGCTCCGGCGTCCTGGCGCGGGGATTCCGGCTGGGTGCATGTCCAGCTCCGGCGTCCTGGCGCGGGGATTCCGGCTGGGTGCATGTCCAGCTCCGGCGTCCTGGCGCGGGGATTCCGGCTGGGTGCATGTCCAGCTCCGGCGTCCTGGCGCGGGGATTCCGGCTGGGTGCATGTCCAGCTCCGGCGTCCTGGCGCGGGGATTCCGGCTGGGTGCATGTCCAGCTCCGGCGTCCTGGCGCGGGGATTCCGGCTGGGTGCATGTCCAGCTCCGGCGTCCTGGCGCGGGGATTCCGGCTGGGTGCATGTCCAGCTCCGGCGTCCTGGCGCGGGGATTCCGGCTGGGTGCATGTCCAGCTCCGGCGTCCTGGCGCGGGGATTCCGGCTGGGTGCATGTCCAGCTCCGGCGTCCTGGCGCGGGGATTCCGGCTGGGTGCATGTCCAGCTCCGGCGTCCTGGCGCGGGGATTCCGGCTGGGTGCATGTCCAGCTCCGGCGTCCTGGCGCGGGGATTCCGGCTGGGTGCATGTCCAGCTCCGGCGTCCTGGCGCGGGGATTCCGGCTGGGTGCATGTCCAGCTCCGGCGTCCTGGCGCGGGGATTCCGGCTGGGTGCATGTCCAGCTCCGGCGTCCTGGCGCGGGGATTCCGGCTGGGTGCATGTCCAGCTCCGGCGTCCTGGCGCGGGGATTCCGGCTGGGTGCATGTCCAGCTCCGGCGTCCTGGCGCGGGGATTCCGGCTGGGTGCATGTCCAGCTCCGGCGTCCTGGCGCGGGGATTCCGGCTGGGTGCATGTCCAGCTCCGGCGTCCTGGCGCGGGGATTCCGGCTGGGTGCATGTCCAGCTCCGGCGTCCTGGCGCGGGGATTCCGGCTGGGTGCATGTCCAGCTCCGGCGTCCTGGCGCGGGGATTCCGGCTGGGTGCATGTCCAGCTCCGGCGTCCTGGCGCGGGGATTCCGGCTGGGTGCATGTCCAGCTCCGGCGTCCTGGCGCGGGGATTCCGGCTGGGTGCATGTCCAGCTCCGGCGTCCTGGCGCGGGGATTCCGGCTGGGTGCATGTCCAGCTCCGGCGTCCTGGCGCGGGGATTCCGGCTGGGTGCATGTCCAGCTCCGGCGTCCTGGCGCGGGGATTCCGGCTGGGTGCATGTCCAGCTCCGGCGTCCTGGCGCGGGGATTCCGGCTGGGTGCATGTCCAGCTCCGGCGTCCTGGCGCGGGGATTCCGGCTGGGTGCATGTCCAGCTCCGGCGTCCTGGCGCGGGGATTCCGGCTGGGTGCATGTCCAGCTCCGGCGTCCTGGCGCGGGGATTCCGGCTGGGTGCATGTCCAGCTCCGGCGTCCTGGCGCGGGGATTCCGGCTGGGTGCATGTCCAGCTCCGGCGTCCTGGCGCGGGGATTCCGGCTGGGTGCATGTCCAGCTCCGGCGTCCTGGTGCGGGGATTCCGGTTGGGTGCATGTCCAGCTCCGGCGTCCTGGTGCGGGGATTCCGGTTGGGTGCATGTCCAGCTCCGGCGTCCTGGTGCGGGGATTCCGGTTGGGTGCATGTCCAGCTCCGGCGTCCTGGTGCGGGGATTCCGGTTGGGTGCATGTCCAGCTCCGGCGTCCTGGTGCGGGGATTCCGGTTGGGTGCATGTCCAGCTCCGGCGTCCTGGTGCGGGGATTTCGGCTGGGTGCATGTCCAGCTCCGGCGTCCTGGTGCGGGGATTCCGGCTGGGTGCATGTCCAGCTCCGGCGTCCTGGTGCGGGGATTCCGGTTGGGTGCATGTCCAGCTCCGGCGTCCTGGTGCGGGGATTTCGGCTGGGTGCATGTCCAGCTCCGGCGTCCTGGTGCGGGGATTCCGGTTGGGTGCATGTCCAGCTCCGGCGTCCTGGTGCGGGGATTTCGGCTGGGTGCATGCCCGGCTCCGGCGTCCTGGCGCGGGGATTCCAGCCGGGTGCGCGCCCGGCTCCGGCGTCCTGGCGCGGGGATTCCAGCCGGGTGCGCGCCCAGCTCCGGCGTCCTGGTGCGGGGATTCCGGCTGGGTGCATGTCCAGCTCCGTAGACGTAGCCTTTGAGCATCCCCCTCCCCCAGCTTTGGGAGCCCTCGTGCTGCGCTAGCCCTGGGGGTCCTGGGATGCTGTTGGGTCTGAGCCCTCTCCCCCCACCTGCCACTTGCTCCCTGGGATGGGCCAGGCACTGAGGGCTCTCTGCTCCCCCCCAGCTGGGGACAGGCTTCTCCTCCCTCCACTCCCCTTCCCCCGGCTGCGGGGGGGCTCCCCAGCCTGCGGGGCGTGGCTGCAGAGTGGGAGGGGAAAGGGCGGGACGAGGCAGGGAT